TGGAATTAAAAAAAAGGTACCCACCTCGAGTCGCTAGAATGCAATGGCCATTGTATGCCGAACAGCTTCAGACGTGCCGGCGGACGACGCTTTTGTTCCGTACGAGTAGTTTCTTCAACAGGCGGCGTGTGATGCCTGCCACCTGATGATGCTCTCGTGCCGCTCCTACGACGCCTCCTTCGACGTCTCTCGACCAATATAAAGTTATCCCCGTTCCTTATAATGTAAGACGAGCGGAGAGTCGACTTCTCTTCACCTTGCCGTTGTCTTATCAAATCAGCTGTTCTCAAAGTGTGAATGTTCTGGTATTCGACTTCCGGTGGAGCGGCAGACGTCACTTCCCGACTAGTCCCGCTTCCATCCCTCTTCTTGCGGGAGGAATGGAGGCCGACTCTACGCCAAACCTTTTCCATGAATCTGTATTTGATGTCATCCCATTTTTAGTTTATGTCTTGGCCCGCTGCAAATTCAGTAGGCACGACATGAATTGAACTTCACTCACAGGAACAATAAAGTCTTATCACGACCACTTTCACATGCAACGGTCCGCTAATATTTTGCATTAACCCTTGTTAATTACAACACTGTACGAGTATATTAATTTAAAGTTGATAAAGGACTGAAAATACGAGTCGGGCCAGTCGGATCAGCCGTTCCCTGTCATTGTTCGGTAAACGAAAATGCCTCCACCGCACGGTCCGTAGTTTAGTTATTTACACACAATCCAAGAAACCAGGGGGATAATTGTTAATCCGTTGTATTGAGACGTACTAGGTTAGTAGAATAAGGGGCGAGAATAACGTGTTTTTTGACATGAGTCTTGCAAAGATCCCGGCCCTACAGTAGGCAGGGTGCGGGTGCTCGAGACACGCATGCGCGGGGCCCCTTCGCCCGTAGCCCCCTCTAGACCAAAACTCCAAAATGGCGGACCTCCGACCCCCTTCCCGTTATTGAATATCTAATTTTACCGCCATGCATTCATTGTCATACATCAACTAACATGCACAATCGGTCCACTTTAGGATTATGAAAACATTTTACCATTACATAATAATATTTATTGTGCACTATCAGCCGTGTCACTATAGTCATAAGACTCAAATCCGAATCAAATAAATTGTTGTACCTAAGTACTTACTCAGTAATTTGTGAAGGGTAAGATTTTTACTTAAAATTACATGAAATAGGGATGATGTGATGACTAATATTTTTTTCATCGTCTATCAGATAGATCATCGAAAGGATGGACACGTATTTTTTCTTTTTTCAAATAACCAAAACAATATAGAGATAGATACCTATATCAATTTGAAATGTCGATGAAAATGATGAATGATGTCTTGGTACAATTTTTACTTAGAAGTAACGTCACGAGCCCCCACTCCCAACTTTGACCAGCTTTAAGTAACTTCGTAATTTTTGGTTGATTGACAAAAGAAAAAGTAAGTTTGTAAAAGTGTATTTATATTTAATTTTCGGTACGCTCTGTGGCCTAAATGATTTGATGGATTTTGGCTTGACAGGTGTACTGAAAATCTTCTTAGTTGTGAGAGTGACACTTGTTATATTAAAATTATAAAAATTTGCCGTTGCACAAATAAAAATGGTCCTCAAATCGGAAAAGATCCCGAAAATACATCAACCTGTAAAACACTTCTGCTTATTGAATCGAAGCATATAGAAATAGTTCATAAAGCGGTGCCAGAGAACTTAAAATCATACCGACCAACAATTTTTCTTTGAAGTATACAGTGTGTGTGTTCGAAATAAAATCCCTTAAGCTATACCATTTCATGTGGCTGGTTTTGGTCATCATTAAAAAGTTGAAATTTTAAAGAAGATATGTAATTCCAAATTCAAATTAGAAAAATGTGTGATTTTGTTTTGTTTTTCTTACTGTCAAGATGAGTGAAAGTAATGAGGATTTTAATTTTTACTACAAAAAATGCAACGCAAGCCGCGAAAATTTTGTTTATGGACCTAGTGCAGTGTCTGTGATAGTAGCACAAATTTGGTTTAAGTGTTTTCAATCCAGAAATTTTGATGTCAAAGATGCACTTCGCTCTGGTCGCCCTATTACGGATAAAATAAATTAAATAAATAAATTATTGAAAAATTGTGTGTGTCAGCTCCGACGCATGACTAGAGTTTTAAGGAGTAAACTCTAGTTCGATAGTCAAATCAGACGCAAAAAGAGTTTTTTTTTAAATAAAAAAGAATAATACTGTGTGAAAGGGTAAATTAACAAATTAAAGAAAATAATATATGTATATTGGGCGCATTTGAAAAAAGCTGGGTACACAAAAAATCTCGATATTTGGGTGCCTCACGAGCTCACTGAAAGAAACCTAATGAACCTTGTGATGTGTGTACAAATCAAAAAAAAGTTTGCGATCACTTTGAAAAATAGATTTTTTGTGTTACAGAATACTTTTTGTAATTCAATTATTTTTCCATAAAAAAAAACCTGCAATCCAAGCTGACACTCATTCAGAAATTATTTAATTACGATATATTTATTGGCTTTTCGATACATTAATTGATTATATTGACTTAGTCAATATTATCGAATATAAAATATTTTTTCACGGAAAGTTGTGATTTAAAAAATGCCACGAGGATTATCATATGTTTTACCAGCCAATCCGCGGTGGGTCCGTTATCACCCTCCAATCCACACTGGGTCCATTATTACCCACCTATCCACACTAGGTCCATTATCACCCACTAATCCGCGCTGGGTCCATTATTACCCACCAATCCGCACTGGGTCCATTGTCACCCATCAATCCGCGCTGGGTCCGTAATCACCCTCCAATCCGCACTGGGACCATTATCACCCACCAATCGGCGCAAGGTCCGTTATCAACCATCAATCCGCACTGGGTCCGTTATCACTCACTAATCCGCGCTGGGTCTGTTATTATCCACCAATCCGCACTGGGTCCGTTATCACCCACCAATCCGCACTGGGTCCATTATCACCCACCAATCCGTGTTGAGTCCGTTATCACCCACCAATCCGCACTGGGTCCGTTATCACCCACCAATCCACACTGGATCCGTTATCACCCACCAATCCGTTCTGGGTCCGTTATCATCCACCAATCCGCACTGGGTCCGTTATCACCCACCAATCCGTGCTGGGTCCGTTATCATCCACCAATCCGCACTGGGTCCGTTATCATCCACCAATCCGCGCTGGGTCCGTTATCACCCACCAAGCACTAGATTCATGTATTTTGTGATGGGTATTGTTCATTGTTTACCGATAAGCACGGAGCACCCCCACTGGGGTGGGGGTGCTCCATGCCGATAAGTCACCGATGACACTAATCTTAACGCGAAATCGTAACACATTCGCCAGTTTACCCCCCAAGTCAAGCGTGCCTAAAGAAGTTTCACTTCGAAATACTTGCAGAGTTGCAGCCCGCACTGATACTTTTTCTACATTTGTGGCCCTGCTATAGCAAAAGGTTGCCGACCCTTGGCCTAGGCTGTAATGACTAATTTAGAATACGTATTCGAGGCAGGCGCTTATAACTACGACTCTTTTAGTGACTGGTGTAATTATTAGCGAAATATCTTTTTGCGTTTATAATATTTTTATTTGCATATAATTGCTAATGTTTAAATCTTAGGAAAACCTAAGCTTCCTGGACCGCATGGGATTTTATCTAGTACAGCCTTTCTTGAGATGTAAACATCTTTTTGCGTGTATGTTTTTAATTTCCCATCAAATATTATTATTTGTTAAAAGAGATTGCTCAAATTGGCCCAAACGCACAAAAAATATTGACATACACGGTAATTCTTGGCGTAATTTATAATTTAATTTACAATCATTAGATTTCAACGGACACCTTTGTATAATATATTAACTTTAAAAAAGACTTTTAATTTTACCGGTTTGGAAAACATACGGATCATTTTTAAATGGCTATGGGTGTAGTAACATTCAGCCAAAGACTGATCGAAGTTGTTTATATAACATAAAAACAAATCTATTTTGTAAAGATCGATAAAATAAATCATTTTTTTTATTACACTATGGTATTAATATCCACAAATGTGCTCAGACAATTATTATAGATGGTAGGCGACATCATAAAGTCTATTGCCATACATTTTTCGCCAAACACCTCCATAAACACATTATAATCTGTATATACTCGTATGTTAGACTTTATCTATCTATGGACCTACGTTGCCTGACTATAAATTAATAAATAAATAAAATTATAAGGTGTAATACACTAAATATCTAAAATATGTTTATATTAAAAACATAACAAAAATAATGAAGCTACTGAATATATGGCTATATAACCTAAATCTCTTAGCTTTCTTTGGTTAACGAGAGTTTATAAATTCTCTCTAATCTGTGGCTCATTCACAATCATCACACAGTTTCTGTCACAGAGTACCTTATTATAACCGGAAATGCATAGATGACACCTGATTTTATAAGTTACTTTTATGCATTAACTTTAAAAACAGGCAAATCTACATGCTCTATATACCTGAATCTAATCCATAATTTCGGTACTTGGCTTGATTTCTCTATTTTACTATATAACTTATTTGTTTTTTATTATTTTAATATGTTCAGTGTATATGGTTTATAAAAGTTCTCAGGGGTGTCCGTCAATAATATTCGTTTCTACAGTAATTTATATATAATTTCGAATCTAGGAAACAATTTTTCATGATTATTGGTCTTTAGGCCAAACATGTATGGAAGCTGAGCAATCTCCTTTATCTAATTTCCCATTTTCTTTAAAGTCTCTCTATTTCTAGATATTTATATAAATATTCAGAAATAGAAAGACCTATATTTTAGGGTACACACCAATAGAATCATCGGCATTTGTTCCAATGTAAACTTTATTTTGATCTCTTAGAAAGGCTCCCAATAATACGACAAAATCTAGGTATAGTCTGTCTGTTATATGACGTAACCGCGGCACTGATAACAATATTCTGCAGTAGTTACTGACCCGCGTCATAGCAACAGCCGCGAGGCAACATTGGTTCCCTCCACATCGAGACGCGTCATGTCGGCAACATGTTTTCATTCAAACGAACAAACACCACGCCAGTCGTGCGTGGATAGCGGCAACGTTGCTAGCTCATGTTAGAGTCGTTGGAAACATGGGCGACAAAAACTTAACATTAGTCAAGAGCATTGAAAAATTTCCATGCCTTTATAACCACCACTGCATTGATTACTCCAAAAAGGAAGTTACCGATATCGCCTGGAACGTAGTAGCCAACGAAACAAAACTCACAGGTGAGATGTAACATTTTTACAAAGAGTTTTGACTCTTTAATAAGACGAACTTTGATAGTCGTCCACGTGCTGTTGACGTTTGTTCAACAACATTAAATAGAGACGATTACACGATTTTCATCTTTATTTCGAGGGAATTAGACTTTAAAACACTTCCCATACCGATTCCATTTGCTGTTGCACTGAACGTAGTACAAAAAGTGCTACTTTATTAGATATGTTTAGTAGAATTTTAGTTACGTAAATGACTTTAGCAAATGTCCGCATACACAATAGTATAAATTACTCGTACAGTATGCATGTGGATAGTAATATGTACAGCTAACTTGAAACTGGGTCGCAATGAGTTCCGGTGGAATTTGCAACAAATGTTAAACTTGATATGCAGTGCATCTACTTAATTAATGATGATGATGATCATGTTTTGCTTTATGTCGCCCATCTATTTCTTTATTAATTATAGTTGCGGAATGCCGAGAGAAGTGGAAAAACCTACGTTATGGCTTTATACGTAGTTTGAGACCAAATCCAGACGGATCATCGAAGAAAAAATATTATTTACATGACGACATGGAGTTCGTATTGCCTTTTATAAAATTCTTATCCAAAAGTAGCCAGATGCCTGCAACCAATCTAGAAATTGATACAGATGATGATATAAATGACTATACTACTGATAAAGGACAATCACCACAATTTGAGTATGACAATTTGTTCCAAAATGCTGAACCACTCAGAAAAAAGATAAGGTTATATGAACCTGATAGAATTAATGATGCAAGAAAAATGTTCCTTCTTAGTTTATTACCCGAAGTAAATGAACTAACAGAGAATCAAATGAAATGTTTTAGAAGAAAAGTGTTAGCATTATTAGATGAAATTGTCGATAATATTCCAGATCAATCTGAAATTGACAGCAACGATTGTATAATAAAAAGGGAATACGAATGATCAACTTTATTTTTCTTTACTTTTTCTATAAATAACCTTGATTCTCCATTCTATCCTTCTACACCAGCGCCATCATATCATTCATGATAAGTTAGTACGTGTATATAAATACAACCTTTTTCGACAGATGGCAGCACCAGTTTTCAACTTGCAACTTTATAAAATTAAAATTACAATAATTCGAAACCATTTCAAGGTTACTGATTAATATCAAAACACATTGATAAAATAAATAAATATTTTATTTGTACATAAAAATAACGAACATAAATATCTATTATGGTTTCTGATACAATTTTAGTGCAAATCTTGCAAATACAAAGTCTTTAGGCAAAAGTTTAAGTAAATACGCACAAATGCAATTTGAAATTATGTTATAGTCAGCATGCCAAAAATTATTTAATTGGAGCATTTTTCATAGATTTAGTAGAAACAGCATTTCCATTAACTTTACTCAATAATTTGTTTCCTTGCCAAACTGCTAATAAGTTATCATTTGTTTTTAAATCTACTTGTAATTTTTCCCATATTTTCTTTTTGGGGTTCAGGACATCATCTGGATCTCCTATTTCATAGCCTTCCACTACAATCCTGTCGCCTGGCTTACTGCCCTCTGGTGGTAATAGTGGCTCAACTTGCTTAGGCTCATCAACTGAGGCACACAGGACCATACCTTTAGATTCAATACCGCGCATTTTTGCTGATTTTAAATTACATAATACAACAACATCCCTATTTTGCATCTCTTCTATAGTAACAAAATTTACCAAACCTGAAACTACAGTTCTTGGTTCTTCTTCACCCAAATCAATCTTTTCCACATACAAAGCATCAGCATCAGGATGCCTTGACACTTCTATGATTTTCCCAACTCTAATATCCAATTTTGCTGGTGTTATTTCATCACTTACTGCATTAATATTTCCTTTTGTTTTAACTGGAGGTGGATATGCCTTTTTGGTCAATTCTTGGAGCTTTGGATTCTTGAATATCTCTTGAATGGGAGCAAGAAGCTTATTCATACATAGTTCTACAGATAATTTTAAGTCTCCAGGGTGGATCTCCTGCTTAGCAAAAGCAGTTTCTAAACTATCAAAGTCAGTAAATTCAACATTACCACCATGCTCAGCAGCTCTTATTATTTTAAATGTTTCTTCAGGCTTCATTAATGGAAATATAACATATTTTATAAAAGACAAAACTCCATTATCTGTGATATTACCAGGTTCACAGAATGCTCGTTTTAGCTTCTTCTTGACACTAGCAGGGTTATCTAAAAGATCAATTTTGCTGTCCTCTTCTGAAGAAGACATTTTTGCTCCAGTCAACCCAGGAACCATAGGGTTCATCAAATGCACCCGCTTGGCATATCCAAGCTGAGGGAGATATTTTTCAGCCATTGTAAATATTTTTCTTTGATCTACACCTCCGAACTGGGCATCTACTTTAAGATATTCCTCGTCTAGTGCTTGTAATCCAGGGTATAACAACCCACTTAACAATGGATGATCTACTTGCTTCACAACTTCAGCACCTGCTTTCTTTGCATCATGTTCAGTGATGACAGAAGACAATCGATAAACATCTAATGTATATTCTTTGCTGAGTTGATATTCTGTACCTCTCACAAACTTGAGTTTCTCTAAGGGAACACCGATAGACTGCAACATAGCTTTAATAGCAGCTTCATAATATTGAGTCCGAAGTGCCAATAATTCCCATGGAGCCTTCATATTATCCAAATAAGCATGTAAGTCAGCAAAAAGTATAGTTACCTCACAACCTGCTTTCAAAAAATCTGCAATCTTTGACATAGGTACAAAATAGGCTACATGAGGTCGGCCGGTCGTAGCAGTTCCCCAATATATTTTAAGATCCCTCTGCTTTAAAATATCTGTTAGCTTATCATCACCTAACACTTCTTGCAGGTTACGAGTGATGAGCGATTTCTTTTCTTCCCAATTTGCCATCGTTAATGAATCACTGCAATGTAAGTTTAATATTGGTTAGATATTATTTTCTGATGTAATCTGAATTGCAATATGGTGTGTAATTGAATATCGCTTACCCAGTGTACACTAAAATTAACAAAAACTTATTTTAATTCTTATAAATTATCAAATTGTACACAAGTATCGTTCAACACAGCATGTCGTACCGTAATTTATTCAGTAAAACACTTTAATTGGGAAAAGTGTACGAGTAGGTAACACGTAAGCCAATGAAATGAAACTTAACCTCTCAACATTCGCAATTTATCAACAACTGGGGTCAAAGTGTAAATTAATCAAAGGCTGGTTTAATTTAACAAACCTTTTATTAATTTCACGTTCCATTGTACAAAAGTTTTAAAGAATATAAACTTAGGGGCAAATTAGAAAAATAGGAATCATAATGAAGTTGGCTACGGTTTGATTTGATTTACCAAATGTTCTTGTTGCCAGCCGCTACACGGCGCTAGTGTCGCAGTGAATGCTCGCGTTTCCTGTCAAAAGCGCCATTGCGCATGACAGTCAGTGCGGCCTTGCGGACTGAAGAGCGGTGCCAACAAAGGCCGAGTCGATGGGGTTACAAAAAGATTAATTTGGACTAGTAAAACCCTTCTGTTGTTGTAATTATAATTTTATATAGGTTGTGAATCTGTGATTACGGTTAAGAAAATGTGTGAATGATATGAATCGTGACGGCTAGCCAAGGAGTCAGCTGGTCAACAGTGCGAATAGTGAATAAGAAATGGCGGCCTTGCCAGCAGGTGTTCAGTATGGGTTATCATCGGAGTCTAGTTATAAAGAAAACAAGGAACTAGTGTTTGTGAAATTAACGGATTCAGCTCTAAAAGCTATCGAAGATTTCATTAGGAATAATAGGGTAAGTACATACGCCATATTGTTGACCAAAATATAGATAAGCCAACAATGTCAGAGGCGCCATACTTACTACTGTAATCGAAATGAAACTGCAATTTTTAATATTCTAATGCTATTTGAAGGGTTGCAAAAACTTTCATTGACTCCAGCGTATACTCTAATTCTTCATATCGTCAAAATTTCGCCTGTAGTAAATTACGCCACGTCAACATACGGAATTTTTGCTGTTATTTTTTACATTTCTGGTATGATCTCTATCTTAGAAATTTTACTATTGTTGTTGCTGTACACCGCTTACTTACCCCAGATTTGCATATTCTTAGCTGCACAATTTAAGCGCTTAGAAACTCAGCAGAATATCATTTAAATATTTTTTTGCTATATGTTGAAAGATTCAGAAGACCTACTTACTGTTTATTCATCTGGTTTTACTTTATAACCAAAAGAACAACCATTCATATTAAAACATAATTGAGATAAGACTTTTACTAAACATTAAAAAATTTCCATACATGAGTTCAACTAAGCTCAAAAACTGCAGTAGAAAATGTTTTCAAGATTTATTCCATCTTGGAATGTAATGCATTTCATCATCATTTAAAATTATCTCCTTTAACTATTTCTCAGCAAGGTTATCACTTCATCTTATAGTCGAACCAAAGTCATTAAGTTTAAATAAAAACTTTAGCAAAGTGATGAATTAAATCTATAAATTAAAATAATTAATGTGTAATATTACGGGTGAATTGCACCAACTTAAACTGAGCAGTTAAAGTACTAAGACCCAAGCATAAATGTTTGACAGCTCCATAAATATAGTTTCTATGAAAACTAAACAGGACATCCCTTATCGGACATAAGAACACACTAGCTTTTTCCATACAAAATTTGACTAAGTTATGGAGCTGTCAAAAATTCGTGCATGGGCCTCTGGTTACATAATAAATGGGTTGGATAATTTTACTGTAGTAAAAAAATTGTCATAATTTGACAGTGATAATAACTTCCCAAAGCGTGGCCTGTTAAATTAAAATTATAATAAAATTTAACTGGCTCTGTGGTGTAACTCACACTTAGAATACCTACTATATGTACTAAATTAATTAGATCAATAGATTTAGTATTAAAATATTGATTTAAATACGTTATTCAAATAGTAATGAACATATTGGTTTCATTTTATATCAGATCATACAATTATGATGTTGATATAAATTTAATGAAAAGTAAATAATAATAACATGACAAATACATAACATAAAAATGTAAAATAGATAGGTACTTTTATTAACTTATGCCAAGAAATCAATAAATTACTTTTTATTTCACTTTATCAGCTAGGTGAAATAACTGTAGTACATTGATCAACTGATCATCAGACATAAAGAAAAAATTACATTTAGTGTATGAGGTAGAACAAAATAGACTGCAAATTAAATAATATTTATGTGAAACCAATATTATTTTGGTTTTATTATTACCTATGTAATCTAATAATAAGGTATAATAAAACATTGTCTAAGAAGTTAAAGTTGTGTAGTAAAAAAAGACAGAGAACACATTTCTTTATCAATTTATTAAATTTGTAAAAAATAAAATGCATCTTTAGCTTTAACCTGAAATATCTAATGCTTTTGATTAACTAGATAATAATAACAGTAAATTAATTTTATAGTCATGCCAGAATTGGTTCCAATATGTAGCAATTTTAAATAATTTATTTGTTGTAACACGTTTTACAACATACAAAAATAATAAAATTAAAAAAAAAACAGTAAAAATTGTCCTAAATATTCACTCACAAATAGCCATTTGTATAGTGACAAATCCAAAATAATCTTATCTGTACTGTAGTATTTCAATAAGAAAAGTCTGATGGCACTGACTATGGTAAGCATCTGTGATCAATGCAAGAATTTTTAGGTATATGTATAATTTCATATGAACTTGTGTCCAAAATGTAACAAGATTCAAATGGTGTCTTTTAAAAGATTTCTTTTTATGTGACCCTCACAGCAGATCTTGTAACTTTTGCCAATCTGAGAGCAGAGTTGAGAGTTTAAATCAATGTGATGTCTACACCAGTTCTGACAGATGACGCTAAGGAGTCATATTATTTTCATTTCTTCAAAGTATTAAAACACAGCTTCCCTTGTTCCTATGAGTATTCTTGATGACATTAGTTAATTATAAAGCCACACATAAAATCCAAATAAACAATTCCAGGGCAGACACTTAAATGAGAACTTCAACTGTTAATACAAAGGTCATTTTGATGTACAAAAGCAATGTAGCCATCATCAGAATAAAATAATTAAACAAATTCACAATTGAAATGTAGCAAAATCTTAATCGAAAGCACAGTTTTGACTCCAAATAAGTTAATAACTAAGAAAAATAAATAGTATTTACACTATTTAATTATTTCATAGGAAATATTGGACTCTGAAGGAGATAACCAAAGCTTATAGAGACCTAAGCATATCATATAAAGTATTTAATACCTGTATCCTACCATGCCTGACATATGGATACGAAACTTGGTCACTAACAAAACAACACCAAGATAAGCTTGAAGACTGTCAAAGAGCTATGGAGAGGAGTATGTTAGGAATAACAAAGAGAGATAGATGGAAAAACTAAGACCTCAGATGGAAGACCAAAGTAACTGACATCCTGACTCGAGTAGACCAACAAAAATTGAGATGGACAGGCATTGCTAGATGGGCAGACGAGCTTAAGCAGACGGTGGGAGTTTACTCGAGGAGAATAGCCCTAAACAGATCTGAGTGGTGAAGGTTGGAAGCAGCATTTCTTTAAAGATTCGAGCATCAGCTGGACTTCCTGTAGAGGCTGGGGGAGGCCTTGTGTCACAGACACGCTACGTTTACCACTAAAGAAAAAAAATCAAATTTTCAAACATATTTTGTAAACTGGTAGCTTTATTAAAGGCCTTTATAGGATTATTTCATAGAGAATGGCAAAGGATTATCAGTACATACAGACTGTTGCTCGATAAATATTGCATAGTTGTAATTATTATTAGCAGGCATTTTAATTTATTACCTACTTCAGTGAAATATATTGAAGTTAATATTTTTTAATAGTCTTTTTTATAGTAAGTATATAGTTGAGTTCAATGACATTTCTATTTTCAGATGTCTAAATTAACTCACATTAATCAATACTTACTATTGATTATCTGTTTTCCTGACAATATCATCATATTTCTTGAATCACAACAAGCAAATTGGACAGATCTAATGTTTTGACTAGAATGAATAAATATGCTTAAATTAAGACCAAATCTCATGTATACATTAAAGTATTGAGAGACCCGAAAGTTTTTTCACCAACAAAAGTTTTTTGATATCAATTAAAAAAAACACATTCACAAAACTTTGTGTCTGAAACATGTTTCTCTAGACACTGTCTACTGCTCAAGGTGGCTGTCGTTTACAAAATACACAGGCCGTCACAAGAACCTGGTATTTTATACAATATTTTATGATATTTTATTTTTTACAATATTTTTTAACTACGATCCAGGTGCAACAAATGTAAAATTTGTCAGTTTCGTATTTTTTTTGTCAAAATTTAAACGTCAGAGTGAAAAATTGTACTTGGTGCGTAGGTTTGGGACGGAGCTTTATAGTTACATCGGGTGCATGAGTTTCCATCTCCTTACTGTTTTATCTTAAGCTCCTCTGTGCTTCAGAAGAATATTATGCAGTTGATACTGGCTTAGCATTTACAAACATCAACCTCATCTAGCTTGTGTGGTGTGATGTAGTTATAGCGTTTCTGGTTATGTGATTCTGTCCCCTATCATCTGTCAAATGCCAATCAGGTGTTTAGGTATTTAACAGTTCCATCCAACTATGACATAGGTACATATAATAATAAAAATGATTTCATTTTGAAACAGGTGATTTACAATTTTACTCATATTAGTTTAGAAGCAGAACAAATTATATCAAATAATTTTATTAAATTTAATTATTTTAAAATAAAAAACAATTCATGAATATTGGATTCCTGATAGTGTCCTAGAGCTTGTGAGTACATTCCCTCTTTTTAGGTCTACCTCTGAATTTTATTCTAGTGAGAGGTAGGTAGATTGTAGCTTTGATTTTTGCACAATTTTATACCTTGGTACAAAATTATCTCAAAAAAACATCTAAAATTATATTTAGCAAAATCTTAATAAATTCAAAAGAAATTGGTGAAAATCTGAATATTTAGAAAAGGGAGTCTGCATATAAATAAACATTATTACCTTCTCGTAAATTGTTTATTTACTTGATCCTGATTGGTAAAATCAAAATCAAGAGTCTGTTTTCTTCACATTGTGATGACAGTGACATTTGATCGCCTTGGCATACTGCCTTTTAGCCAACATTTCAGTTATTTTTATGTATTTTGATGGTCTTGTGACACATTTATTTATGATTTCCTTAGCCTCTTTTCATTAATTGGAAGATGCACATTTACCTATATAATATCATATATTATCTGTGTGTATCCGTTTCTTTAAATATTTAAAGGACATTCTTAAGTTGTACAAGTGGATACCTACTTGAGGTACAAGATTATTCAGTGTATGAGAAAAGAATGGATCCTTTCCAGTGTAGTTGCTTCATCTCCTTTTATATAATGTTAGCATAGCCAAATGAGCATCTTGAGTTCGCTATAGGTTTGAAAGAAACCTTAAATTAAATAATATACATATTTGCAAATAATTATGTAATATTTATTTTTATTATCAATCTGTTTAATTCAATTGCAATGATATATTGTCTTTATTTATTATAATTAACTTCTCGGTTTTATAATACTAACGCCCGTCCCACTTTCAGAATATAAGGTTGGTAACCTGATAAGTGATAAAATTTCAGTACAAAAACACAATTTTAATTTACGAAAAATTATTTTCCTTTTCTTAAATAACCTAACAGTGGGCGGTGCATAAGGCATCTAGGGGAATGGAGCAGCGCACGC